GGATTACTATATAAAATTAATATCTTAAATGATAATAGCCGAGACTCTAACTATCATGTTATTAGTATTCATGAGATCTTACACATCCCTGACTTGCAGTTCTGGACAATTTTTTAATAATGTTACTTTCTCCTGTGACTGTAAATACTAAACGTTAATTAACTTATTAGATTGCAGCGAAACTTGTAATGAATGCCTTGATCTTACAACGTGCATAAATTGCAAAAATACATAATTATAAAAGCTAGAATAAGGGAGTTGTAAATTCTGTTCAGAGAATTTCTATTTAAATGAAGAAAACAAGTGTGAAGGTAAGCAGATGCTTATTTGTTAAAATAAATTTAACTTAGAATGTTCATGTCCTGTCAAAGGCTCAAAATGCATATAAGAAAATATTTGTTTGGAGTGTGATATTAATCAGATTTTTGACTTAAATCTTCTGTAATGTGTTGATAAATGCTAAAATCAAGACGAGAAAGCTACTATTCCATATCACCCTTACCTAAAGAGATCATTTAAATATTGCAGATGTAAATTTCTTAAAATTATAATATTTTAGCTTCAAGAGTGTTTGTTGACCCGTCTTCCAATAATTATTTAGAACTTGGAACAATATAATATCCATTTAAATCTATGGTTTCAGCTTTGGTTGAATTGTTCAACTACCTACAAGCTGATAAGAAATCTTATGAAATATTGATAAAAGAAGGAGAATAAGAGAAATTGAGTGGACTTTAAAGTCAGCATTTAATACTCAACACTCTAAACCTTACGATAAGGTATAACATTTGTATATTATATATTTAGAACATATGCAGTAATGGATCCAAATAAATTAGGAAATGAATCGATTATATATATCTAAACTGACTAAGCTTTTGTCAATCAACTATATTTTTGATTTTCACTCATTGTAGACCCAGCATATAACATAAATGACAAGATTCAACAAGGTTTGATAACAGAGGCTGAAATGAATTTGATTTCATTGAAATCTGAATTAGTTATCATCAGAAGTACGGTGAAATTTACTAATCTTCTCATAAAGAGTAATAACCACTTTTTCCTCCAATTTAATAAATTTGCTTTTAGATAAAATAAGTGACAGTAATGAACAGAAAAGATTTTTATTCTTATATGATATTTAACACAGAGCGATTTCATTTGAGGTTCGTGATACCCTTTTTAATAATTAAAAATATATTTAGAAAATTTAATTTTATCTTTATGGCAAAATAATGCGTTCATCAAATCCGCTCAACCTAAAGATCTTGAATTCAACAATAGTCACAGATTACATTAATGAGGGAATCATACTACTGTCTGATTGTAGCTAAAGACAAAATAATTCTTATGAAGGAGAGATTTTATTTTCAGGTTTAAAGGTAGTCGGGCAAAGATATCTCGTGATGCAGCAACCGTTGATCTACATATAAACCCTTTATAATGTCACTGTAGACAATTCTGAAATAAGATCATTCTCTTCAATCAATGATGCTAGCAAGTAACAACTGTCAATTGAATCAACGAGCTTGTGCCCACTTAATGCTGATTAAAAAATCAAGAAAACATAGCTCACTAATAGTTACATATCATCTGATGCCATCAATGGAAGGGACTAAGCTTAAATATAGTATAATGTTAACTGTGGATAGAGATCAGACTTCAACAAGCGAATTTAGTAGTGTATTATTGAGAATTTGACCTTTGAAAATCTCTATTCTGGAGTCACTTTGCTATATTTATCTCAAGGTGCATCAAACTTAACAATACGTAACATCACACAAAACAATGTATCACTTGGTCCAATTTAAGCAATGCATTTCTTCATTACAGGATTCACTACATTGAATATGATTGATATAAAATTTTATAACTGTGAAACTCAAGGAAGAGTAATAGCCACTGGCTTATTTACTTATACATACATTGATAAACTAGTTATGATAAATAATACATGTAAGGATTTTTATTCAAATTTAAAATCAATATTAGTGGATAAACAGAAAAATGGTTTGTGCTTCATTAAGAGTTCTTCTAACCCTACAAATGCTATCTATTCATTTAACAACCTATACTTCAAGAATAATAATATTAACTCAAATTAAAGTATGCTTAATGCAGTTGTTCATATCTAACTATTTCGTAGTGTTTTAATAAGACTAAAATATTAGAAAGTTCATTATCATGAATTCGGTATTTGAAAATGAATGTAATTTTATAACTTGATAATGATTTTTAGTGATAAGCACTTCTACTAATTATATTACAAATCTAAGAGGTCAAAGTTTTTCAATAATTAATTCAACATTTACTGGATTTAGATATACTGATAACTCTAAATTTGGAGCTTACATTGTCAGATATGACGAATACAACTTAGTTAACTAAAGTGAAAATTCAACAATTGACAATGTAACAGTTAGTAATAATGAAGTAGACTTTTTCTTTTTTGGAAGTTTC